TCGCAAATGATAACTGGCGACCCAGAAAGCGAAATCACACAGTCGAATAGACAGCCAGTTACTCGGACGACAATTGACAACTCAATATCGGAAGATCAGTTTAATCCGTTATGAATGAAGGGGCGCATATTCCCAAATTTGAAGAGGAATAGGGAAAAATGTACGTGCAACGAACACGGGTGCACGTTTGTAAGTACATACATATGGATCTGGAAATAAGTGTCATCAGCATTTGTCTATCTGCCTGACACATTTTGTACAATAATCCTCCCTGCTTCGCTCTATTTTCCACAACTCTACCTATTTTACACATCCATGTACATATGTATGAATGAATATATACGAATGTAAGTAGTTCAAATATTGGCTTCCCATTGCGAACGGCAAAAATTGAAAGATAAAAACAACAAATCAGGAAAACCCCTACAAATGTATGTCAACAATAAGAAAAATATTTACGCGCACAAGATAATCTACTATTTGTATGACGATGTTCACACTAAAGATTTCATGCTCATGAATTTGATGCCAGTTTGCTATGTACATACATATGTACATATGTATGTAGCTAGCGATGCTGCGGATATGATGATCGTTCAATCGACAGGGTCGTTCACCAACGAAAAGTGTGTCATTGTTAGTTCAGTGTGATCTTTCAGTGAAGTGTTATTTTTCACTTTTATATTTTTAATAAGGACATATTCTATGGTTTCAGTCAGTGCCCAAAGAAAACTGGTTAAGACCCTTTTGGTGTTTAAAAACCAAAAAGTACATTTGCCGATATTTATTCGGAATGGGGCTTCCGCGACGTGTTGTCTTAGTGACCATATAAAAAGCTGAAAATAATAATTAAAATCGAAAGGCGTTTAGAGAAGTATTTCGCCTGTGAAATAATCTAAAGTAAGCACAAGCCTTGAGTCGAAACCATGTAACTTAGACATGGGCGCAAAAAAAATGTAAAAGAGTAACATATGTATACATACAAACCCTGTGTGGAAAATCTCTAGTTCTGAACTGGTGCGCTTCTAGTACATTTAGACCCAGTACTGGTTCACGATAAATCTCTGTTGCATACAAACAACTGGCGAATTTAACATGGCGATGTCCTAGGAAGTGTCCATTGCCCCCCGCTGCATCCCTTTTTCGATAGTTCCGAACTAGTTCTAAATTCTATAGTTCTGAACCAGTTTTAAAATCGACAGACGAAAGGAAAAAGTATCATGATTTTTCAATCTTTTCGGTTCTTCCGTGTGCGATTTTACATTATTTTCAAAGAAATGTTTTTTCAATTTGAAATTGAATTTGTTTGAATGATTGTAAGAAATGTACGTGTTCATACCTTTGGCTGTAGCTGACTTTGCAGAGGTGCTCGCTGTTATTGGTTAGATTCCAGACGCCCCCAAGATGTTAATATGTTAACACAAAGTTTTGTTTTGTATTACCAATCTGCGAAGTGCAGAGTGAAAGTGCATTTGAACGAAAAAGCTGCCAAACACATATCTATGTAAAGTAAACAAGCTCCCCGCTGCATCTCTTTTTCAATAGTTTCGAACTAGTTCTAAATACGACAGATAAGATCTAGTTCGTTCTGTGTTCCTTTTTCTATAACTCCGAACCAGTTCTAAATTCGTCACTTTAGATATAGATTTCTAATGAAAAAAGAGAAATAAAATAGTTTTTTAAGAGTCCCACATTTCGCTGATTTTTAACCGGTGGGGAACTACTTACTATCGGACTAGTTCGTTTTTGGCGATAATAATCTTTACGGAACTAGAAATTGTATGCACCAGTCCGCGGTTTCCCTGCAGGGTACATACATACATACATATGTATGTACATATGTATTTTTTCAACTACATTAAATTATAGTACTTATGTAACAATCTAAAAGGAAAAAAAACCTTAGGGTGAGGGCTGGGTGTTATGCCCAGATTTTTTTACCATCGATAATCCTTATATACGAATATTTGAATAAAAAATACGAATATTCGGTTGTCCGAATTATGTGTTGGTATTCAGATATCCGAATAACTTAATGATATCCGGATATTCAAATCTAAAAATAAACAATATAAATAAATTAAGTGTTCCATTATTGACCGACTTAGAAAAAAGGAGGAGATGGGTTATCAATACGTCGGTATATGTATGTATGTTTGTTAATTTGGTTCAGGTCCGATCATTGGATTACGAAGCAATTTACGGTACTCCTAAGTTTTATAAGAGCAACGAAGTTGGTTGTTTTTTTTTTGCTTGAAGATTTCATGTTTCTTTTGTAGGACGTTGGATTCAGCTTACACAAATTTACTAATCCGTTCAAATACTGTATAGAATATTTGGATATACCAAATGAGCGAATATTAACCAAATATACGGGCAACAGAATTTAAGAATATTAACCGGATATCCGTACAATTAGGATTTTATCCTTATACACAAATATCCGAAGATTATCCGAATATAAGGATAGTCTCAGTCCTTATGTTGCCTCTAACCAAATAAAAGCTAGCTGAAGTATTCCCCGTGTAAACAGACTTGGAGTCATTTATTCCAAATAAGAGAGTAAATCGATTCAGATATATCTGAAGTCAGCTGGAAGCACTCTTAAGGGCAGTGATGGGCATACCTATATAAATACTTATATAGAGCTTATCATAACTATACGGCACTCACATATTGACAAGTTTTGACTAATTTTTAACCGACTTCCCAAAAGGAGAAGGTTATCAATTCAACCGATTTATTTTTCCATCGGAAAGGTAGTGTCTCCGCGGTCGTCTGATAGTAATTTGGTTTAGATCCGATCGTTAGATCTTGTCATGTACTCCTAAATTTGTATATGAGAATTGAAGTCGGTTGTGTTTTTTGTATAAAAATTACTTGTTAAATATTTTTTTTTAACAAAAATATGCTATATTCTTTAACAAAAACCTTTTAAATCCAAGTTTCAATCTTGGTGCAGTATTTGAAAAAAAATGAATTAAATGTTAGTACAATAAAGTGCCAGTTTGCAGGACTTATCGTTGCTTTTTAACCGATCTCAAAAAAAAAGGACGAGGTTATCAATTCGTCGGAAAATATTTTTTTTATGTATGTTACCGCATAACTTTGGACCACATTAACCGACTTCCATAATTCTTAAACGAAAGGTGGTACCTCAGATGTGGTCCCATACTAATTTGGTTTAGATCCGATCATTGGAACATGAAGAAGTTAACGGTATTCTTAAATTTTTATCTGGGATTTGAAGTCGGTTTGGTTTTCTGCTTAAAAATTACTTGGTGGTATTTTTTTTTTGTCGACTATATCAGTCATTTTCTTTCATACAAAGTATGTTCGGCATTTTTTTTATATGGAGAAAATGAGAAACACAGTCAGAGACACAGTCAGCAAAAACAAATGCCAAAAATTAATGGGAAGTCTTAGCTATTACAAAACAAAGTACTCAAAATTTGACCAAAGAATCTAATGAAAAAGCTTGAAATTTTTTCGAAAGCTTTTTGATTTTTTTTAACATGGCACCAAGTTTAAAACTTGGATTTATAAGGTTTTTGTTACAATATAAATTATATTTTTATAAAAAAAATTATTAAAATGATTAACGAAATTTTATACTAGCAAAAGCATTCCTTTTGCGAGCTCCGCAACAACCGAGTTTTTCTCTTATACTTTCGTGCCAGTTTTAAAATGTGGGATGATCAATATTGAGTGCTTCATTCGAGGATCATCCGTAGAAAAACATATGTATGCTTATGAAAATATGTGTGTGTTGGGAAACAACAATCTTGCAAACAGTCAGCAGCATAAGGATAGGTACATTTTTGGATGGCATATTGCAATTTGAGTGGATTGCTTGTTGAATGTTTAAACATTTGTCGCTACCTGAGTACTATTGCCGTTATTAATTTTTTCTCGATTGACAATTGCCAACTCAACGTTTGACAGACAGCAAACTTCTCAACTGTGCAAGGCGCGATAATTTGATTGGATTGTCAAACGGTGGCCCCCTATGGAAGAGATGAAAAACTACCGGATGGATATTTTCGTTAAGACCCGACGGATAGTCTGTCGGAAGAGCAGAGTGTGTGTAATGAATGGAAGTTGAGCTAAGATACCATAGCTGGCTGCTACTCATCATCCAACTGCTGAAGGTAAGCAACGTAGGGTGCATGCGACAATGTGTATGAGTGGACCCTAATTGGTATTATCTGCTTGCTGCTGACTGTCATGGCTAGCTGGCGAATTTAAGCCTCATTTGAGGGATACTTTGTGGATTTGCGCATTTTTTTTGTTTTTGCCTGTACTCATCTGATGCCGGAAATTAGCTTTGGTTTTTGGCACATCCCTAAACACATCCGTGGCTTGTGTATGTAAGCGCGCGCGCGCTTCCTATCTCAATTCTCAACACTGTCCTATCCCAACTCATGTGTGCGTTATCCTATCAGCCTGTGTGCCGTTGTCGAAACAGTGTGACAATTCGCAGCCGCTTTTTTGATTGACAACTGATGTGTGCAACACCAAAAGCAAACTCTAAAACAATAACAATAACTACACTATCGTGCCTGAGGTAGCCTTTAATCGAATATTTTCGCAATCACTTAATTTTCATTGAATTTCTCGCTATTTAACACCCAAAAAGGATGCGAAATATTTTTTTCTTTGAAAATGTGCAAATTGGAAATGTAATTTTGGGTAACGCTTGATGAGATTAGATTTCAGCGAGTGCATACGCAAAACACATTCAAATGGTACTTTTTATAACCGCAGCTAACTAGTAATACGATACGCATTTGCAATTTTCGCACAGATGCGAAAGGATTAACCAACGGAAAAATTGTCACCAAACAAACCACGAAGGTGACAATTTTTCACCCAAAAACCAGGCGCTAATTTTCAACATTTCCTCTTTTCACTTTCCCAGATGACTACCAGAATTAGTGGCAGCAAGATCTTAAATTTCATTGATACAAGCATACATTCAAACTTATCCTTTCACTTACCTCCCAAGCAAGACTCGGCGCTGTCGGTTCGCTGCAGAGCTTCACCTCAAACGGCCCATATCGCGTACCACGGCAGAGCGGCACTTTGGCATAAACGCCCCGTTCGCGTATGTCCAAACCGCACATGGGATTGTCGAGCCCTTGTAGACGCGCCAGCTGCGTGAAGAAGCCTTCCGCGTGCGCTTTACTACCAAAGAAACGCTCCATTTGATGCGCTGAAGCGGACGCTGAGGCGGGTGTTGATGTAGCCGATGCTGTGGATTGGGTGGACAGATGGTGTTGTTGTATGTTAATGTCCTGTTTGTTATTGTTGCTGTGGTGCTGCTGTTGGCGATGATTGCTAAATGCGGTCGGGACATACAGCCCAGTTTGTTCCAAGTCGTAGGGTGCGCCGTTATGCCCGTTGTGCGTGATGGCGCTGGTATTGTTGTCCTCACCGCTGTTCCGCTTGTGTTCGCCACGCTCGTAATTCAGCGTTGGCTGCGCTTCGGTCACTGTCAGCGGTGCTGTTGTTGGCAGGTGTGTTTGATGGTGATGACGATGCGGAAGCTGATGTGGGGTATCGTGACTAAGATGGTTGGAGTGCGTGGAGAATGACGCGAAGTTGAGATGTCGCAAGGCTGCCGATTCGTACTCGTCACCGTTATTGCCTGGAAGAAGGTGATGAGAAAAAATGGAAGTGATTAATATTCTTGTAGGTATTTGAATATTTTAAGGTCTAGATGATAATACCATATTATAACGAAATTAAATAACTTATTAATTAATACTAGTGCTCTCCCAGCGATTGAAATTCAACTACTAAAGTTGAGATTAAATGTGGTAAGTTAGGGTGATGTGAATTAAGGTGAGTTGAGGTGAAGTAAGAGGAGTTGATGTGAGGCGATTTGAAATGAGCTGCGGTGAGCTGAGGTGAACTGTATTGCACAACAATACATAACATGGCATAAGATAACATACCATAACAAAATATATCATAACAAAAAATAACATAATATAACATAACATAACAAACCATAATATTACATAACATACGATAACATAACATAACATAGCATTACATAATATAACATAACATTACATAAAGTAATACAAAGTACCATAACATAACATAACATAACGTAGCTTAACATAACATAACATAACATACCATACCATAACATAACATAACATTACTTAATATAACAAAATATAGCGCAACATAACACAACATAAAATAACATAATATAACATAACATAATATACCATAACATAACATACCATAACATAACACCATAATACAACACCATATCACAACGTAAAGTATTTAAATTTACCTTCCTCTTTGTTGCTATCGTTAAGTTTCTTTAATTTTATTTTAATCTTTGCCTTTATCCATTTCGTCCTCTAAATATTCAACTTTGCCTTACTCTTTAAATTACTCTTAATTTAAATCTTATGCTTAAACCACAGCTAAGCACGTTCATTTAATTCAGTATCAAAATTAAAGCATACATTTAGGGTTATTTCCGCCCTAACTATGTACATGTATGACATTTGTATTAGTGTCACATTTGAATTAATGTTTTCGCTTTATATTAAACTTATTTGAAATTTTAATAACTCTCTGCACATCAACGTCAAAGTACCTTTCTAACGATACATAAATGTTTATACCTTAGAAGTATAGTTTAGCCGTAAAAGGGGTGTAAAGAAAACATGTTTGCCTATTTATATATAAGATTAACAACTTAGAGACGTCCATAATCCTAAATCATATATATACGGTGTTTGCATGAGGCGATTTTACATGCAACTTTTACTTGAAAGTAACAATCGCCTGGTATGAACGGCTTTTCAAATAATCGCTTCAAATGAAGTTGGGGCCACTAATCGCTCTTAAAATTGGCTGTAAAATCGGCTCATGTTAACACCGTTATACGCACAAATTGCGAAGCATTTTCCGTAACAAGTTAAACTGGGCCAATTGCAAGAATTCACTTGAGGGACTATCAATCAAGTTTGAAGTAATGTTGAAATCTGTATAATGAAAATTTTACATACAAATTTGTATGACCTATGTGGAATATCCATTTAGTAATTAGTCTTTGTATACCTCGTACGAATTTTCGCTTTTCGAGTAAAAAATAAGTATTTGGCACCCACACATTTTACTAAGCGCCCGAGCGAAGCCGTGCCGAGCGGAGCGAAACTTTCAAATTTATGTAAGAGCAAGCTTTTTCAGAAGCGCTTTGGAGCTCTAAGCAAAGCTCGCTTTCAAAATTATTCCATGGAAATGAATTTTCCGATATATCTTCTGAAGCGCACAAATATTTTAGCCGCTTTTTGTTGAAGTGAAGTTTGTTTTGTGAAATCGGTGCAGTCATTTGAATGTCAAAAGCTTCGCTCCGCTCAGCACAGATTTGGTTCCTGTGTATATGTACAGAACGTGTTTGGCAGAGCTTCTGCTCGAATTTCTAGAGTGCATCTTTATTCCGTCTGAAAATGAAGGGATCGCAGATTCAACCCAGCTCTTACTGGGAGATATTTTTACACTTGTGACCACGTGTGTACTTATATTACAACATGATGATTTTGATTCCCGTGTTTGACATCTGCTGCTACAAATCACCATTTTTTTGAGGCCCATTGAAGTCGTTCAACCTTAATCTGGACGGAGACTTCGTCGTTAAAGTCGCCGAGCATAGTTTTTTGTCGTGGCGGGTCCAGCACATACTTTCCACCTAACCGTTCATAGAATCGATTCTTGATCGTATCATCCTTCACTTTCGAAGGAGCGGGGGCGCTGAGAGAGATGTAGAGTAGATAGCATAGCAATGCACTAACTTCTACATTTTTCAATACCTTTTTCAAAATTTCTTCATTCCTAAGTACGAATGATCAGCAAAATTGGAACGCGGATTATAAAAGATTGTCTCACAGTGCGTAAGGCCATTTAGGCTTCCTTATTTGCTTTGTTCATCGCATAACTTAGCTGGTGATGATTATTAGCAATGGTAACTTTTTGGAGCTTCGCAAGACTCGTGAAGATTCGTATATTTATGTACTTTCAAATTCAATAATTTCAATCGTCTCCCGTTAGTGGCGAATATATCAAGATTTAAGCAGATATTATATGTAGCTTTCATAAATGGCCGCAGATATTCTACGTTCTCTTATTAATTCTCTCCCCTGCTATTGCCTACTAAGGGTCAATCGCTATTAGCAACCACTCACTATATAATTTCTATATTGCAAGTGCAAGCCTTCGATCCAAAAACTCGCCTGAATAATAGCATGTACCTCCTAGCGAACTTCTAATCTAGTTTGAAAATTCTGCAAGCTGACTTCTTCATTAAGAAACCTTCTCTAGCCGTGTGTATTGAATAGAAATTTCGTGATAAAGTAAAGTGTTTTTGACAGGTATCTTTACCGAGAATTTTAAACCACCAATGAAAACACTAATTCAAAAGTCCACCTGTTTTAAATGACTTCACGCTTGCTTTTAGGAAAACAAGACAGTGCTGGGTTAGATTTGAACCACAAGAACATTTAGGGAGTTCACAAGGTGTTGTATACTGTCGTACTGTTGTATGTCATAAACTTTAAACGGCTAAAACTGTATTTAAGGAATTCCCAAGCTAACATAAAAGTTTTATTATGAAATTTCAGACAATTAAAAAATAGTTGGTGGTGATTTCAAGTCCTCTAAACATTTATTTAGCCGTTAAAAATTTACAACATACAAAAATACGACAAGTACGACACCTTGTGAACCACCCAATTGTCTTGCTAATCACTGTCTTATCGAACCATAGGAATCACGTGAATCACTTCCATTTATCTTTAATTGAATATATTTTAACAGAATTAACACCTGCATTTCACTTAATTTACTATCATTAACTTGATTCCTTCTTTAAAAGTGAGATAATAACAGTCACCACTAAAAGCCAGCGCTCCAAAATATAACTCATAAATAAATTAAACAAATTGTGCCAACAAAAATCCATTATCTTTTAAAATTTTACAACATGTACATATGTATGCGTGTACATATCGATGGTCCTCTGCAATAACAACACAACTCAAAATTTCATATATTTCAGTAGAGCCAATTAATGATTTTGTGTTTCGTAAATTAGCAATAATATGTCTTGGAACGTAATTAATCCGGATTACGCCGTGCGACAAAAAGTCAATTTTACAGACGAAAAAATCAATATATTCACAAAACTGTGGGCCAAATTTAGTAAAACTGCGATTTTGGTTTTTCTCTCTGATGTCAGGATTTTTTTGAAAAGCACTTTGAAATTTCTAGAATATGATTGAATAAAAAATTATTTAAAAGATTTGGTTTAATTTTTTGTTGCACCAGGATGAATAAATACTGAAAATGTCCTTTTAAAACTTTATCCTTGAAAATTTTGGGTTTTGTCGCACGGTGTTATTTGCAGTCATTCTGTAGGGAAAATTTGTAAGCTTTCAAATTATGACTTTTTTAAATTTAGGCGTAAATCGTTTTTTTGCCCGAAAACCGAAATTTCGGTTTTTACATTCCCCAGCAATCGATAAAACAGGTTTAAAAAAAAGGGTATGCATATTAAACCAAACCTATATATCCCTACGTTATTCGACACGCTGAATGCGAATCCGAAGTCCGTTAGTCTTCATCACGTAAGGTTCGTGGTCAGTTGAAGGTCAAGTAGGAAAAATTCATTAAATAAACCTGAAAATTCATATGTATAAGGGTTTAGATTCGATGAACCCGAATCCGAGGTCCGTTAACCTCCATAGTGTCACTTTCGAGGTCATTTTCAGGTCAAATAGGACAAACAATTTGTTCAATAAAAATAGAAATAAAATTTTTTGTTTTTTTTGTTACTGAAACCAAGTATTAGGGTCCCTTGATTCCTCAAGGTCATCTAGAGGTCACGCCAAGGTCATCCCAGGGTCGAATTCCGATGAATTTTATTGAATTTTCAGGTTTATTCAATGAATTTTTCCCTAGTTGATCTTCAAATGACCACGAGCCTGACGTGATGGAGGCTAACGGACCTTGGATTCGCATTCAGCATGTCGAATAATATATGAAAATATGGGTTGGTTTAATATGCATACACTTTTTTTATCCGTCACTGACTGGCACGTAGTTTGACACCCAGACTCCCCGCTGAATCCGCCACTGATCTCACTAGAACAAAATATGCTTTTAATTTTTACTATGGGAGTATATGTAAATTCAAAATTTAAAGCCACTTTTCTCGAGTTTTGCTTTTTTGAATTATGACACTATTGAAGTAAATGAGCAATATGCACTTATTTATAAATTAGAAAAGTTTTTTTTTTGTGAAACAAAGTTTGTTTTTGTATAAATATGTCCAACGCTTTATTATATTTCGTATATTTGGAAATGAAGTTGTTATATAAAATGAAGAAAATATATTGTTTTAAATAATTTGCGTTGCACAGCAGTAAGTAATAAGGGTAAGTCAAAATTTAATTTAATTTGATATCGATGTTTTTTGTTTTTTTGTCGGTAAACCGAAAAGATCAGGTTTTTAATACAGTCTTTTTAAACGGTTTAAAACCTGAATATAAAACCGTGATTAATCAAAAAACCGATTTTTTGGAAATTGTGTCCATCCCTACTCCTAGGTAGTTAAACGAA